ATTATAGTTAAAGTATTGTATTAGCTACCAAAAAAAGCACAATTATCAACTTTTTACTCTAAAGTTAGATCTGCTTCCATTCATAAATTCATAATATTTAGAATTGTTAGCTTTATATAATAAAGAATTTTTAAACATTTTGAAACTAGTTAACACACTAGCCTACACTACACTAAACTCGTGAGCGAGCACTCGACTCACTCGTCTTCAACAACATAAAACTGAAGGAACGCGATGCAAAAAATGAATAGCACATCGATACTAAGCTATGTTAATGATGCAATCCAGCCAAATTCCATCTGCAAATAATCCTTCCATCCTTTTAATACGAAAGCCGTCACATAAACTGGAAATTAAGCCAATAGATTTGTGTAATACACAAATGAAAACAGTGATTTTATTTCCGCATTGTTGTGGTAATCCGTGAGACTAACGTCTGCTATTGTTCATCCGGAGTTTATTCGGATGTGATGTTTCCCCGGGTAGGTTGTTTTGATTGGTTCCCTGAATTAGGGCACGAATCATTAAATCTCGACCATTGGCTGCTAAATTTAACTACTAAATTTTCTTTTTAGAATAAGGGAGAGAACTTCAATGCACGCGTATCGTCATAAAATGTGTCACCGGAACTAGAATACTCTGCCATTTATAAGGACCAATGAAAACATATTTAACAAACTCTTTTATCCAATGAATACAGCGTTAACAACAAAACAGGGAATTCAAATGTTAGTTATCGGTAACACTAGTCCATAACTTGAAACCATGGAAGAAGTATGTATAAAATCGCATTCTAAATGATTTTTAAATTTGTAATAAATAAAACTTTGGTGACCAAAACTTCAAGTAGGGGCTACCGTTTGAAAATTTATTTAAATGTGTGGTGTTTGTAGTATTCACGGAGCTAGTATAGTATAGTCAATAAAGCTAGTGGAGTTGTCTTAGTTCATATTTTTTGTGTTGACAAATCAAAATCAATCACACAATGTTACTCATATTGTTACCAATATTATTTTTTTTCGAAAGCCTTACGAACCTATCATGATTTGCATAATTTATGCTGGGCATTTTCGTTAAACTGGAATAAACATGACTTACCAGTGTAAATTGTGTGAAATTTTTGATGGATGAAATCCTAATCCAACACATAAATGTGTTTTGGGAAACAAGGCCCATGGAGGCCCTTCAGATACCCATGGCACATAGTTCTACTCCTTTTCCTGTCTTGAAAATCATAAAAATGAAAGTTATTTTTTAAGTTACTTACTGAATGAGTTAGTTCAGACAGTTCAGTTAGTTATATACTAATACTATACTTATAGTATAGCTTAACTATGACTATAGCGGCAATAATTAGTGTAAGTATAAATGAAAATGCACACACAAAATTTTAAAATTAAAAATTCTATAATTAGTGGAAACCTCAACAAACCAGGCCTGTATTCTATTTTTTTATTAATATATTAAATATGTAATGTCTGCTGCGGCCAAAAGCCAAATTAATGGCATATGATTATATATTGCTTTGTTGCTGTCATTGTCATGCTAAAAGTACAAATAGCAGTAACAATATGTAAAAACTGCAAAATAAAGTTCTTTTTCCTACCTGCTGTCAGTTAAGGCATCAGCATATATTTTATTGTAATTTACTTATATTGTCACTAATGAGTCTACTGACTAGTCTAGGTCTACTTTATTGTTTTGTTCATAATTCAATTATACCGAGCTGTCGCCTTACTTAACTTAATTTATTTCTGCTTATTTAAGACTTAACTTAGACTTAGCTGGCATGCACTACTGTTAGGCCTGCACTACACAAAATAATAAAAAAATAAAATTTTAAAGGGGTCATGAATATTTCTTTTTATACTTTATCAAGCCTAACCTTTTTCACATCCACAGAGAAAACCATTAGCGACCCGCAGTAATGTGAGCAAGTTACCATTACCTGGGACACGGCAGAAAAGAGCCCGCAGTCCAGATATTAGTGAGGTAACTTATTACTGATTCTATTTATTGAATTAACTAGGCCTATAAATCAGCCAACTGAATATGTGATAATAAATTATAGTTATGAAATGACCATTTCAAAACAGAAAAAGTTTTCTATTGGTTAGACTTGGGTTTCAATCCTTTTTTGAGTCACAACCTCATTTTATAGAGGCAAAGGAACCTGTAACTCTGTTTTATGGAAACAAAGTAACTTTCAACCAGATACATTTTTAAAATAGTTTTTTGATGGGGTAAAATTTAAAAAATACATGAAAATTACTTTTTCTGCACCAGTGGGTCTTAATCGTTTTTTTTTAACGAAGTGGCTGTGTGAAATGCGGCGGTGTACCTAGCAAAACCATGGACCTAGGCCTGCGTACACTGCGGAAAAATTATACCATTGGCTTGGTTTTAAGATATGCCAGTTAGATAAGATCTTGTGTGGTCTTGTGGTAGAGTAGACGCTAGTGGATCTTATATTTTGTGATCAATTCCCAGTAGGCGTTTTACAACAGTAGTTTCATGAGAAGTTTTTAAATATTTTGTAGCAATCTAAACATTTTAAATATATTTTATATTCAGATTATTAAGTATTTCAACAAGTTGTGCCAGCATTTGAATTTGAAAATACCGGTAATAAGACAGAAAACAAACTGAAAGTGCACGTATAGTGTATGTAACATTATAGAAACATTTTGAATACCAAGCGATATTTTATTGTATTTCAACATTCTTTATGTAGTTGAATATTTACATTTTACTTTTACGAACATCCAAAGAAAGTACCAGTATATCACATGAATGTTAATGTGGATGGTTGTATTTCAACCATCTTCTACACAGGATATCCTTGGTTCGTCAAAACCCACAGCAAATCTTTTGAAAACGCCACGATTTTAGACACGGTATAACAAAGCCATACGTCTGCGCTTACCCTGTTCTTGATGGAATTTGTTTCCATAATGGCATAGCATATGCTATTCTCATGGTAAAACACGACATTGTCTCACAGAAACCATTGCACAATACGCTTTGGACCGGATTTGCGCTATTTAAAAGGTTTTTATTTGTTTTGTTTTTTGTTAAGAAATTGATCCATGCCAGGAGGAAGCGGGTGAATTGGGCAGAGGCTCAACAAAAATGGGGGGCCTACACAAATCACGGCTCTGGATAGGGGTTGTCCAAAAGGACGTCCGCACAACTAACTTACCTTTTGCTTAAACACACCCTGATATTAGCCTGCATTTTTTAATGTGTTGTGACAATGTAAAACTAATTCAATGATATTTAATTACTGTTAAAAGACTTTTATGAAATCACTGAAGTGTTTGGTATTTATCAGCATACTGTTGTTTTGTGTTGACAATCGCTTGATGTCACAATGACAATGCCTTTGAAAACTTTAACTTCATGATCAATGTATGTGATTATCTGCCAATAATGCCCCCCCCCCCCCCCCCCCCCCCCCAAACAAAAAAAAAACAAAAGAGGAAATTAGCTACCATTTTTAGACCTATCAAGATTCATAATCATAGGATAAGACTTCATAATCATATCCCTAAGTCCTTGGACTGTTGGGGTGCCACAGATAACATGAAAACTATCTTCCATTCCTCTCTGTTTTCTGCACTTCTGTTTTCTGTTTCCCGTCCACTCTTTGATGTTATCTTTTTCTCTGTCTTCCTCTTCTTCTCCCTCCTCTCGTTGTGCCCTGCGTGATTTCTTTGGTGAAACCTTGTTTTCTTGTCGCGTGGCCATACCATTCCAGTTTGCGCTTTGTTAAAATCACCAGGAGGTTATCATACTGCCCAATTGCTTGACGAATCCTTTCTTTCACTTGTTCATTGGAGATATGGTATCTGTAGCAGATGCCAAGAATGCTTCAGACACATCTTATCTCCATCACCTTTATTTTTCTTTCAAGTTCTCCTGTTAATGTCCAGGACAAGAAAATGGAGAGGACTAATAAGCGCATCAGCCTGATTTTGGTGTTGGGGGCTAAATTTTTGTCCTTCCATATTTGCTTAAGCCTCTTTAGTACTGTTGTGGTCTGGGCAATCCTAGACATCAATTCGGGCTTGGAACCTTCTTCCGAGACTATTGCTCCTAGGTACTTGAAGCTTCCTACTGTCTTTGATCTTTCCTCCCCGACCTTTCAGTTGCAATTTTGTCTTTTCTGCTCTGATTGGCACGCCAAAGGACGGTGAAATCTTGTCGAAACGCTTTAGTTAGGTTGGCTAGCTCTTCTTCGCTTCCAGCCAGTCCATCTATGTCATCTGCAAAGCATAGGTTGGTGATTGTTCTGCCACCAATGCTTATTATCAGCCAATGATTTAGCTAGGTACACAGCAATGGTGTACGCAGGCCAGAGTCCATGATTTTGCCAGGTGCACCGCCGTGGTGTACGTAGTGCCGGCCTTTTTTATATTATGATGAAAAAATAATGATATAATTGAGGGTTTTTGTAAGATTTTTATTTTTAAATAACAAAGTTAAGAATTCACCGTCGACTTTTCATCTCATTTATTAATATGATTTAAATATTTGTAATTTTTGTAGTTTCAAAGAAAGAAGTGTAAAGAGTATTTATTTTTATGTCATATTATTCAAACTATGCTATTTGAAATTTCTTTTACATATTATATTTTTTTATATAGAATCGCAACTGGTTGGGAACCTGGATTCTTTGAACTGATAGGAAAATAATTTATACATAATTGGGAAATAGAAGGCTTACACAATAGTAATTTTGCGATTGTTACTAATGTAATTTTTTTTCAATAGACTAAGCATGATTGTTTTATGTTTATATACGTTTTAATGTATACGTGTTTCCAAATACTTCTTCTTAATGTGGGCTTAGTTAATTTTAATTTGTGACTCTGTTAAGTACCACCAGGGGTTATGTTTTATTATTAATTAAACAGATATATGAACATTTAAATGTGTTTGTTTTCCAGCCATTGGGCAAGAAGTCTCGTATAGACAGTGGTTCAAGTGAAGGCATATTTAACTCAAGTGTCAGATCTGTTTCTTCATCGTCTTTATCGTCTACTTCAAGACTCAACTCTAAACTAAAGAAAACTGCATCCTCTTCAAGTCTAAGCAAAAGAACAAATGGTTATCCAGTACCAAGTCGCAATATCCAAACGGTGGCAGCACAAAGAAATAACAAAATGCCACCTCCGAAACCAATTGCTACTACAGTTGCCAGGCCAAGTAAAAATTAAAACTCACCTCTTCTTGACACTTGTCTTTAATTCTTAGCTTTGTATGAGAATGTTTAAATATGTACAATTAAATCATAGGAAGCTTAATTTCAGCATCAGCTTTCTAAAATTCCTTTTGGGACTCTCTTAACTCATTTTTTTTTAACCCAGGGCCAAGGGTGCCCCACCCCCTTGCGTTGTGAAAGTAGGCATTTTCAGGTGTGCAAGAAGACCACCTAGAAAATCAGGGTTTTTTAACTTTTTTTTTTTTTTTTTTTGTGCGTTGGCGGAAATGTTTTGAAATCAGGAGGGGTTTTGGGAATGTGCTGCGCTGCAGAAAAGTAAAGAACCCCTACCTTAGGCTAATGTCATGAAAAGGTGGAATCTTTTTAGTAAAATCTTTTCATCTCTTATTAGTGAGAGATTAATTTATCTAAAATGAGAGAAAATCATTGGTATTCAACCTTCTTTGCTTTTGTGTATGCCTGATATATTATTTATTCAGAATGTTAAGACCATTTTTAGTTTAAATATTAGACTACTTAAACTTAAAGCTGATGGACTTTTAACCTTTTGTATAATTTTTCAGAAGCACCCGTTTCCTCAACAGTTGCACCTGTAAAGAATAACACAGCAAATAGCACTCTTAATTCTACCATCACCAGCACAGGTAAAAAATTAACATTTTTTTGCTATTTCTATGAATTAATAATTTGTCCAGTGATAATTTTTGTTCTTGTATTGATGAAAAGTTTTGTTCACTTTCAAAGTAACATTCTTCTTTAAACTTTAGAAAATAAAATTAATTACTATGTAAACTTTTAAAATACAAAGGCTTCGTTTATCACATGGCTCACTCTACTCTTAATCGGAAATCAGACTAGACGGGTTTTGGCAGATAATGCATGATTTTGGGATGTTTTACAATTGTATGCAAAGACCTGTCAGAACTACGATTTTTGGAGACCAAATTGAAAATGTATACATTCTGGTAGTTTTTAAAATAACATTTTTTTTTTTTTTAAAAGTATATTTTCGGTTGTTAGTTTTAACTTTTATTTGCATCCATTTTATTGAATGGATAGAGAAATATGATTGGTTGGGAACCATCTATAATTATGTTATATTTCCTTCAGAGGGGAATAGAATGGTGTTGATTTAGTAGATTTTGTGTACGTGCATAATGAACTGGCTAGACACTGCAAAAATAATATTAGAGTAGTCTTCCTAGTGACAATGTTGGGAGGGAGGTGGTGTCGATTTTTTAGATTTTGCGTGCATATAGTTTGGTGGTCTCAGTAGAAAGTTATGTACCAATACGCTATTTAAAATTTCTAAAATATTCATCCTGAAAGTCCAAAAATTACAAATTTATATCTGGAATGCTGTAAAAATATCAGCAATGTTTTGTAGCAATTATTGTCATGATGTTGCCATGTATTTTCACAATTGAACTCGCTAGATACACTCAGTATATATATACGCTAGTGCTTCTAACATATTTGTTTTGTAACAATTACACTTGAAAATAGTGAATACATAAACAAAATTAAATACCGTATTTTCCGGCGTATAAGACGACTTTCTAGACCCAAATTATAGTGCCAAAACTTGGGGGTCGTCTTATACGCCAGAAAATATGGTAAAGGGTTGGGTAAAAATAAGTATAATGCATATGTAGGTAACTAAGCACAAGCAAACTAGTAACTGCATAGTTACTCAAGTGGTTTACTCTTTGCCCCTTGACCGATAGCTGTCACATTAATTAAAAGTGGAAAGTTAAATTTCGAAACGCCCCGAATGGGCAGACCAGTAACGTGACTATTATTAGAGTCCATTGTCTTTGTAAAGTTAGTGGGATTTTGATTTTATAGTTTAATTGACTATTAGTGTCCTTTCTAAAGAGGATTTTGGTGCCCCCTGATTTTGGCGCTTAGCCCAATTCTCATGGCCTTGCTCGAGGGCAACTTGCAACCAGGGCGATGTGGCGCATACTCTAGGCGCCACTAGGTTTGCCGAACAGCCAGCTGTGAAAACCCCTGACATATATAGTTTACTGTAATTGTTTAAGAACTTTTTTCATTTTTTTTTGGGGGGGGGGGGGGGGGGGGGTGTGGTTCAGCAAAAAAAGAATGCCTGCAATAGTGGGGAAGGTTCAAAAGTTTGCCTTAATTTGCGCTTTTGCGTTTGTTTGCTTTGGTATTGTATTGTGGTGTAATTTTGTGCAAATTATTTCTTGTGCAATGAGTGCAGAAAGAGAGAAAATTAGAGAATGCATTCTCAATTATTTTTTTAGCAGCTTTTCCCAAAAAAATCTCCAGTTACTTAGTAGCTTTTTTTTTTTTTAAATGACGCACTAATTTGTTGATTCAAATCTTATTTTAATCAATTTTATGCAAATCTGACTTGGAATTTGAACCAAATCAAATTTCACCAGTAACTTTATTTTTCCCAGTGACAAACTGTGATAATGTGATATGCTCGTACATCTAAACTTCTATAGCAGATAAACTGCACACAAAAAAAGGGACCGCAGATTACAATATAAACGTCTGTCATCTGATTTTGAAAGTTACCATTTTTTGACATCAGCTTAACGCCATCCCACTAGTCACATGATGCGAGTAGGCAATGTATACATTATATATATACTGTATGTTTAAATTGCTTTTAAGATACCGTATTGTATGATTTTAAGAGTATATTGTAAGATTTTAGTAGTTCGAGGGTAAACAGGTCTGATAGAAGAAGTTCTATACACACTCTCATTTAGCCGATTTCATAGGCAAGGATCTATAATCCCAAAATTAATGATAAGTCCCATCAACTCATTTCAACAATTATAAAGATTGTATTTTTCAAATGACCCATCTCATCTGATAAAAAAAAAGTTGTTCTGATCTACAATTATTATTTTTTGTATTTTAGGTCTTCCTAAAAAACGTCCTGGATGGGATTTAAAGGGTCGTCTCCAGGATGTGGAAATTCACTTTCAGAAAGAGTTAAAAAATAGTTCTTTAGTACAGGTATTGATTTCTTCTCATCAAGATATTTTCACTTAAATTTTTACCTTTCATAAAAATAGTTTAAGACCGACTCCAATTATTAATTTGACTTTTTCATTAACTCGAAAGGTTTAATAAAAAGAAAATATTTTAAGATCGTTAATAATTTTTCTGAGTGTTCTCTTAAGTGAACTTCATTATTAATAGTTCCAAGTGAAGTAAATGATCTAACCTTAGGGCTATCGTTTAAGAGGGACTACAAAATACTTAAATGTAATTCTAATTACGATATGCTATAACATCTTATGATCATCACTAAATAGCTGGTTGAGTCTTGGCAATAACAAGGTCTGAGTTATATCCAATAGTAAAAACTACTGGTCTTAATGAAAACACGTTTATAATTATTTTTGTTTATCTTCATATTGTTGCACCAGTTGCAACTTTCAGAGTGCAACAATCGCATAGCCCAGCTTGAGTCTATAAACCAAAAGCTGAGTGGAGATGTGGTAGAGAAACAGGTCGCTAGTGAGACGGCAGAGAAAGACATCAACAATCTCAGAAATAAATTGATGTAAGTAAGATAAATCTTTCAGATTTTTATATGTCCAATCATTGACTTGAGCTTTTTAGCCTTAGTTTAGTACCAATGACCCAATGATTAAATAAATTATTATATACATTTTGTGGGGCATCTAACAGATGTTTTTGATTCTGTTAAAGAAGTGTCTACCCTCACAGCATATGGAAACAAAAGTTATTTGAGATTCAGGCCATTAATTTTAAGTTTTTAATTACCTCACGAAAAACTCACCTTAAGTAGTACCAATGGTTTTTGAATCCATGCAATATGTTATCTGCTATAATTCTGATGATTGTTGAACGTCCGATATCCAAAGTTTTCAGTTTGTTATTACGTCTTTATTTCAGTCAAACTGAGAGAGAATTTGAGGCAACCAAAAGTAGATTACAGCGACAGATTGAGGATCTTGAATTTCAAAAATCAAGCCTAGGCAGGCAAAAGATAAGTTTGGAAGGAGAGCTTGAAGCATCACTTAAAGAAATTTCTGGCCTAAAATTGACAGTGGCCGAGCTTACTGCTTCCCAAAGCACCATAAAGGCAGAGCTGCACAACACTAAGGTAGTTAACTCTCTGTTAATGATGCTTGAGGTTTAATTATTCCAGAAGCATAGGTTAGTGTAGTAAAGGTTTGCAATGAATTTGGCTTTATCATTACAAAAAAAAGAAACTATACCCAAAATAAATATTGGTTTATACAAAAAGTATTTATATCCTCTAAATGTATAGGGTTTTTTGTTGTTGTTATTTTTGCATTCATGGGTTCATGTTTCTTCTTGCTTAAGTTACTCAAGTCCCAAAATAATATACACTTATTCTACCATGGACATTACTTTTAGATGCACATTGGTGTGTAATATAAATTGCATTTCAACATAAATGGGGATTTAAAAAGTAAATAAAACTTACAAATATTATCATCATGATTAGAATTTCTTTGTTCACTTTGAGATAGAAGGTTCCTATTTCTGTTTTCAGTCTTAAGATATTATTTTTTTATAGTTATTTTTGTGACTTTGAGCTATTTGCAGTTACCTATTTATTTTAAATGCAAGTAGCACTGTTAATTGATGTAAAAAAAAATAACAACAAAAAATAAAAACCTACTAGTGTGCTTTCATTTTTAAAAATTGTGCTAAATGTAAATTGAATCTTTGCTATCATGCATTTAAGTTAATTGGTGTCCATTAAATTGGGTCACATTACAATATATTAATTTTTGTCCTAGGACATAGGAAATTGGTAAGCATACCTAATGAAAAAAAAACCAAAGTGTTATTTATAGAGAAACTAGTTTTGGCCCACCAAACAATGCTGGTGGCAACACATGAACTTGCCATCTCCTAAAGTTACTTGACAAAACATGCATTCAAGTAACACACTTTATAAGAATCCCATTTATTTTTCTCTCTCTCTTCCCTCTCCACCCCCAGTATTATACAGCACACTTTTTTCTCGCCCCTGGAACTAATATTAAATTATGTTCTACATACTTTTACACTCATCTTTATTACATACGTAAATTGATACTATTTCTGTAAAACACTGTCCTATTTTAAGAAGCTCATTTATCAGGAATTTAATTTGTGTGCTATTGAACTCATCATTACACCATACAACCTAGAGAATTATATATATCTAGATATGAATGGATATTACATTTATAAATTTTATGTGTGTTAAATGCTTTGTATGATAGTACAGAATAACCAATTTATACAAGTAGCCATAAAAGTTATTTAAATTTGGCTTTGGGATTCCAGTTTCTTGATTCTACTTGCACTATGAAAGAAAATAAAAGCAAATGAAAATATGAAATTATTGCTACAATGCCACGGATTCATTATAACCAAATTTGTGTTACCACGGGATTCCAATAAAATTAGTAAATCCTATTTCTTAAACCTGCAAACGGCCTTGGTACTTGTAAATTCTTAGTGCCGATGGTCTTAAATTTGTTACGTAATTGTTTTATTCATATCTTACAGCATAATTTAGAGATTGCCCTAAGAGATCTTGCTGAAAAGACTGAAACTCTTGTGACAAGGGAGGCCGCTATTGAAGTATTCAAACAGAAAGAACGGCTTCATGAAACGGAGAGGAGGAAGCTTCACAATACCATACAAGAGCTTAAGGTCATCCTAACTTCTTAATACACTCGCCGCATGCTCAATAGTATAAACTTTTTTTCTTTTTTTTTTTAATGTTTCAAACCAATATGATTAATTTTGTTTGATAAATGGGGGGGGGGGGGGTGCAATCTTTTAAAAAAGAACAAACCGTAAAAAGAAAAAAAATTAAAAAACTTTTTTTTTTTTTAATTTTTCAAACCAATAATATTAATTTTGTTTGATAAAGAGGGGGGGGGGGCTGCAATCTGTTAAAACAGAACAAACCGTAAAAACGAAAATAATATAAAAACTTTGGTTATTTGAATTTTTATATTCAGACCTGCCAACACTTCCGATTTTGTAGGAATTATACAGATAAATTATCCCTCATTCTGACCTTCTGACAAACCCCTTTAAATTCCGATTTTTCGAACTACAAGATAGTGTGGGCATTTGCACGAAAAAGAAATATGTTCAATTATAAAAAAGAAACACTAGAACCATATATAATGAACAATTGGTTAAAAAGTGACGATGTTTTTTTATAAAGCGTGGCATGTCCGCCGGATGAATATCTCCTGCACTATTTGTTCGGTCGTCTTACGTGTAGACACTAACTTGAACCGCGATCTCCAAATCTTTCTTCATCAATTGATCCGATCGCGATTCATCCTTTTTACAAGGCTAAAAAATAATCCGACTTTTTTGTTTTTTTTTGTTGTTTTTTTTTGTTAAAGCTTCTCTTAATTAAAATGGTTGAATCTATTGAAAGTGATGGGTACAATGATATTAATAAAAATTAAAATGAAGGAAATATTTCTCTAGCCCTAGCCAAATCCGATTGTTTTTAATGCCAGAGTCAAATAAATGTTAATAATGTTTCCAGACTTACAGAATGCTAGAAGATTGTAAAGAAAATTGCAATAAAACAAGGGCAAGCATGAAAGTTTATACTTTTTCTCACTTCTTTGTAACTAAAATCAACTGCAAAGAGCTGTTGGACAAGTGCAAAACAGGCCACTATCACTAGTGCACTAGGGCTTTTACTAGGCTTTTAGGGATATGCTGGAATACTGAACTCTTACTAAGACTAAGAGTCTTAGCAGCCTGTGTGTGTGTACATGTAAATTAAATGGATCTTCTGTTCTGTACTGTAAATATCTGTATATCCAGTAATGTTTACCTCATGTTCTGTGGTGTTCTATGGACCCTTCAAAGACAATTTTATATTTCTTTATTTACTTAAAAAGGGGTGTGGATTTATATATAGATTTTAAACCAACCCCCCTCACGGGGGGGGGGGGCAGCTGCCCCACTTTCCCCCTGCGTGCAACCCTCCTACAGATTTTTTTCCTTGGCAGGTTGACATGTCTGTATATTGTATTTACCGTTGTTTGTTCATTCAAGTGGGAATCTTGGCCAACATGTTCAACAGGTTTCCCGTACTTTGTTTCACTTATTTCGTAATTATTTCTTGCAAATAAGAATCATTTTCTCAAAATTGTACAGGCCATTTTAAAGTAAGTACAACATTCATGTTGATGCAAGTTTTGAATGTTGTTTTCAGGGCAACATTCGAGTTTTTTGCAGAGTTAGGCCCTTACTTGAAACGGAAAAGCAGAACCTTGTAAATTTTATGAACTTCCCGGATGCTAAAACTATTGAGCTGGATAAACTAGATGTTTCCATCAATGAAGTAAGTTACTCAATCTTGTAAAGGAGCGATATTGCTATTAAGCTTTTAACGGTAATTCAGTTATAGACTTGTCTTTTTTAAACTTAGCTGATAATTATGCAAAAATTTAACTTTTTAAATTAATTTGTTAATTAGAAATTTACGGTGAGACACTGTAACCTCATAGTAATCAACTTAAAGAATGACCCAAACACAACTTATGGTATAAAGCTGAAGAAAACATGGAATTGTGTGTATTTTATTTATTTTTTTTCTGTCCCTTCAGAGTATGTTGAACTCGACAAGAAATGGTAAAGCATCAAACAGATATGAATTTACCTTTGATAGAGTTTTTCAACCAGAAAGCTTGCAGGCTGAGGTTTTTGAGGAGATATCACAATTGGTCCAGGTGAGAGATGTGAGAGATAACACATTAAGTTTGAAAATAAATGTCTGTATACCAGTATTGAGATGGGTTGTTTTGTTGGGGGTTTTTTTGTAGCTTAACTGTTGGCTATAGTTGCAGCTTATATCCTCCCCGTCTCCTATTGCAGAGCGCTCTTGATGGATACAATGTTTGTATATTTGCGTACGGCCAAACCGGTTCCGGCAAAACCTTCACTATGGAAGGTTCCTTAAATGAAGAGTCTAAACTTGGAATGATCCCAAGGACTGTGCAGCTCATTTTCAAATCTTGTGCAGACCTGGAGATTAGGGGCTGGCAGGTAAATTCAATTTTTTATTTACTTACTATTACACTCGTTAGTGACCTCTTTTACTTTAAATTTAAAGTTTTCCTTTATTGATTTTTGTACTTATGATATTATGTAGTTTTAAAATATCATATGGGGATTTACTGATCTCATTCTTTGTTCAGGTCAAAAGAATTTGATTATTTTTTTATTATTTTTTTTTAGTATACCATCCATGCTTCAATGGTGGAGATCTATAATGAAAGCATCAGGGATCTCCTTGCTAAAGGGAATGAAAAGCTGGATATCAAACTACAAGGAAAAGGGGAGACAGACGTCTTTATTCCTAAACTGACCATTGTAGATGTCAGATCAGAAGATAAGGTATCAGACTATTTGACATTTTAATTTGTTAATTATAGCAAGGGGGTGACTTTCGATATATGTCTTAGTCCATGAACCAACACACGCATAGTTAAGGATGATTTAATTCTTTTAACATGCCAACGCTAAGTGCTAATCAATCATTAACAATGAAATGGATGATTTTAATCCCCAAAAATGCACACTTATAGTGACTATTTCAAGGGGAATGAAAATCAAATATGACATTGTGCAATATCTACATTATGTCTGTATTTTAATTCTAATTGGACCATAATCAGCTTGGCCCACAAATCTATCAAGGGAATGGGAGGATTGCTCTGAAAACAATACTTTAGAAAGTAATTTTTTGTTTTTATTATGTATTTTTTTACTCCAGGTCCTCAGCTTGCTTCGGAAAGCTTCAGACAACAGGGCTGTGGCAGAGACCAAGTGCAATGAGAGATCATCTAGAAGCCACTCTGTGTTTCAGCTGCGACTTGTTGGGAACAACAGTGTCACTGGAGAGTCATGTAAAGGTGAGCACATCATGACAAATAATAATAAAGGATCAAGTATTTTTATTTTTGTTATATGATAATAAAAAAAGAATTAATTTAAATTTTACACTTGAAAGTGCGGCTCAGATTTTGTTTGTAATTTAAAATCACCAGTTACGGTCCCTTGTGCTGCTGAAACATGTTAATATTTTAACTACTCATTATAACATTAGCCAGGAACTTTGTACCACATAATTTTTTTGTGCCTAATACTAGTAAAATTTGACAGAAGGAATGTGAACTGCATTTTTCGCAGCTCACTGCTAATTTGGGGATACTTGAAAACCATCATTTATAAAGTAAATGCCATTATAATCCCTTTTATATTATATGGGTTACCCATTCTCTTTTAAATTGCGTTATCTTATTTTGGCAATAAATCTATGACATTTTGGTGTGCTTACCAGGAATGCTGAATTTGGTGGACCTTGCTGGGAGTGAAAGGATCAAAGATTCAGGCTCAGAGGGTCAAAGATTGGTTGAGGCGCAAGCAATCAATAAAAGCCTTAGTCACCTAAGTGATGTCATCATGGCTTTAGGCAAGAAGGTAATATATTAATGATGAGGGTTATTATTCTTGAATCTTCAAACGAATTCCTGCCTGTGGCCTCACTTCCTTTTCTAATCCAGATCAGACCTGTTTGTTCTTACAATATTGGCGTACAATGTATGATTTTAAATGTCTTTTATGTTTTAACGCCAAGACCTGACTACGATTTTAGTTTCATCTGGCGTAACGAGTTAATTATTATTTTAGTTAAGTAATTAGTTAAGGACTCCGATTGTAAAATAGTGAGATCTTTGTGTTTTTCATTGTTTTTTAATAGAAAAAGACATGATATTCCTGAAATTTGGTAAAAGCCTATGACGGGGGATGTGAAGGGTATAACTGTGACTTAAAGTTAAAGAAAAGAGCTACATAAGACATAAACTATAGAAATGAATGTGTTAAAATGGCTGTTGCTTTATATTTGCCTCGGCATGTTCAGATATTATCTTATAAGTTTACTGTACAGATGGGATCTAAACTAACTAACTGATCATTAACTTTTCAGGACAAGCACATACCTTACCGCAACTCTAAGCTGACGTACCTGTTGCAAAACTCGCTGGGCGGTAACAGTAAGACGTTAATGTTCGTCAATGTGTCCCCTAAAGAAGAATGCCTCGCCGAAACTCTCAACTCACTCAGATTTGCCACTAAGGTAGGCTACACAGTGGGGGAGTTTGTGCCTTTCAATATATTACTTTAAAATTTCTCTGATAGCCCCAGGCTGAATGGGTTAATCACTGGAGGCTAGTTGGTAAGTTAAGGAGATTTTTTTTTAAATAGATTTTCAATTTTGTTGTTTTAAAAGAATTTCAGAGGATCAATAGCCCTATTTAAAGTCTGTCCTTGATCTATTTCATGATATATTGTTGTTTTCTTCAGGTGAACCAGTGTAATATCGGGACAGCACAGACAAGGAAATAAGTTGGGAAAACCCCGACTTGTTGGTTAATATTTTATAAATATAACTGTCAATCACTTTTAGTTTAAGTGAATTTTTACCTGTTGAAAATGTTATCTGAAGGCTGAAATGATCATGCCATGAGAAATGCATTGCCATGGAGACAGGTTAAGTGAAACTTGATTTTTGGATTTGTCATACATAAATGTGTGTGTAATGGTAACAATAACAGCAATAACAAAGGAACAACACTGCTATAGAACTTGTATTCTCTGGTGAAAATAAACAGTATATCATTTTTGACATTATGGGTAACAGCTTAAACATTACGTCTGGTGTGGACTAGCGCTACGGTTGCCATTCTTTTACTAGAGTTTTATATATAGATGTATATATTTGTGATACTTCAGTGTTATGAGTATTTTGTTTCCGGTACTGAGAATTAGATATTTGCTCTCTGTTGCCATGTGTTCACTAGAGATAACATATGCAATGAAATTCTTTATTTCCATATTTGTAAAATTGATATTATATAATGTTACATTGTCCAATTCTCAACATCTTATTTCTATGTGCCTTATACTTATATTAAAGTGCTGTTTAATGTCTGTATATCATTTAGAAGTTGACACTTTTCAAGTTTCTTGCTAACAATGCTGTCTCCACACCCCCCCCCCTTCCCCCCCTTTTCAGTCCAGTTGCCAAAGCATCAAATTTGAAATATGTATTAAGCTATGTTCAGGTATTTCTTAGTAGATTTAGTGCTCTTAACATTTGTTTATGATGGTGCTAAAAATTTGTTGTACAAAATGTAGGCATTATCTTTTCCTGGTGGCTGATAACAAGAGTTCTTGAACTTTGAATGTTATCTTGATGCTGAAGTTCTTTTTAAACCTGCTCTTACCTTTTTTTTTTTCTTTCAAATGACTTAAAATTTGAGTTCTTAATGAATAATATATTATATAAACACTTGTTTAAAGAGTGTTGTCATCCTTCTGTTATGAGTCAAAACACTTGTTTAAAGAGTGTTGTCATCCTTCTGTTATGAGTCAAAGTCACTGACAACTTCAATATTAAATTACTAAATATATTTAACAAATGTCACCAGAGCAGAAAATATTTGTTCCCATGTATATATGATAACATTGTCTTGTCTCATCTTTACCTCATTACACTTATTTCGAAAACATTTATTTCAAACAATTAATTTTGATTTTATTAAGAGATTTTTATCAATTGATTTCAAAGAGTAAACATTGTTGACATGATGATTGTATGGATGCTATCACTTGCAGTCTGGCTTTATTTTAAAAATGTCTATTTGCACTGCTGATGTTATTTGTCGGTTGTTGGGCTTCTCTCTCCAGTAGATTTAGTTCTTTGACAGCACTACACTAAACATTTTCAGTGTGTTTGATGCTCGATGTATGAAAGCAAGTTTGATGAGTTCAGTGGTGCGTAATATAAATATAAAATGACTGCACCTAATGAGATGCTTAAAATTCCGCAAGTACTTTTGGTGGATAATAATCTCATTTTAAATTAGATTAATTGTGCCCGCTAAACAAAAAGACCGGTTGTTAGAATATTAATATAGATCTGGGCCAGCAGTGTAATATGGAAAGGGGGGGGGGGGCACTAAAATGGGATACTTTTTGTGTGCTATATAAATGCATATTTTTTCAAGTTACTTGGTAGATGGGAAGTTTACGCACTCATACTGCCATTGTTTGGCGGGCTATGACAAGTAATTAAATATTTTGTTTTTAAGTGCATTTTTTTAATAGATTTCACCGTTTTATCTGTAAATTAAAAAAATGTTATTTACATGATGTAATAAATATTAATCAATATAGGATCCCAAATCTGCTCTTTGTCTTTTTTTATCAACCAATCCATGTATGTTTTCTTTTGCTTCATTGAGTGTTTCTAGTTCTTGATCTACATTGAGTGTTTCTAGTTCATGATCTAGATTGACTGCTTCTAGTTCTTGATCTTCATTGACTGCTTCTAGTTCTTGATCTTCATTGACTGCTTCTAGTTCTTGATCTTCATTGACTGCTTCTAGTTCTTGATCTTCATTGACTGCTTCTAGTTCTTGATCTTCATTGACTGCTTCTAGTTCTTGATCTTCATTGACTGCTTCTAGTTCTTGATCTTCATTGAGTGCTTCTAGTTCTTGATCTTCATTGACTGCTTCTAGTTCTTGATCTTCATTGACTGCTTCTAGTTCTTGATCTTCATTGAGTGCTTCTAGTTCTTGATCTTCATTGAGTGCTTCTAGTTCTTGATCTTCATTGACTGCTTCTAGTTCTTGATCTTCATTGAGTGCTTCTAGTTCTTGATCTTCATTGACTGCTTCTAGTTCTTGATCTTCATTGGGTGTTTCTAGTTCTTGATCTTCATTGCTATAGCAAATTATACAATTGTCTTTTTACTTGTTTCTTTTTATATTTGCATAGTAAATGTGTAAAAATATACATTTTTGGTCAAATATGTGTAAATATAGCTCTTGATAAAAATCACCCAACATAGATTTCATCTTTAGTACATCATGTAGTACACGTTTAATTACTGCGAGCAATGTACGCCCGAAATTACATGGCAACATGTTTAACATGCAAAAATTAACATTTTTAATTGTTATAATAAAACAGTGTATGGCTACAGTCGTATTTTAATGATTGAAATGGTCAACACACCACTGTCTGATGTTAGAGTTACAATGAAAAAAACACCTTATTAAATTAATATTAAATTTTATAGCCAATAAAATAAACTTAAGACTGAAAAAGCCAAAACAAATTGAAAATAAATGTACAGTATCGGTACCGTACCAATAATATTTATTAATAATAATAAATTCCCTCAGATGTCATAAACTGTCCGTACATCAACACAATCCTTTTGGAGTTCTCTCGGACTCAACCTAAGGTAATTTTTTTTGTTTACATTTATTTGTCGAAGGCTTCTTGCCAGCTAGTTTGGGGTTGTCCATTAATTACGTCAACAATTTTTAAGCAGTTATTTTTGACCCCCTTGTCAACAACTGACAAATATTCAGTGCCCACCAACCCCCAGTAATTATGCCAACATTTGTATAATCCTTCCCCACCCAAAAATAAATTAATTATAGTATAAATAAATATATACCCGGTAAATACATTTTACTTTGTGATGATCTATTTTAATAACACAAACTTGTAGGAAAAATTGTTTATTGCATCTTTAGCTGGTTAAAAAGTTTTTACACTTAAATTTTATAATGCAAAATCAATGTAATGGTTTTTAAGGACTAAATATTGTTTGTGGAAGTAGAAATATGATTATTAGAAGCATTGTCAGTGTGAGCAGTAATTGCCGTAAGCGCTCTCTCTCTCTCTGTCTCTCTGTCTCTCTCTGTCTACTGGCAACTACTTGCATTAGTCGAAACCTTTTTTGCTGAGGAGAAAGAGGTAATTTCTTTTGCATTGTCGGTGCTGTTGTACTTGCTATATTAACATGACTTGTGATGCAAAATAGATGTTACAGATTTTGCAAATCCTTTCAGCAGCGATATAATTATTTTTACTCCCTTTACTTTCCCCTTATTCTAAAAATATCGTAGTCCTACTCTATCAATACAATTTATCTTGACCGCACATTACTCTTGTTCCGTACCCGCAACATGATCGCAAATATACCGCCCTAGTCATTTGCGACAAATAGAATCTAAGGTCGAAGAGAGGCAAACTTTTGACTTCTCTTGCATTCACTAAATGTGCTCTGACCAGCCATCAGCGGTGCACTGACAGACGCACATGCATGGGCGCCCGCAGGTAGGAGCAAGGGGGGGGTACCTCCCCCCCCTGGATTGATTGGATACAAAAATTTAAGACAAAAATAGACAAAAAATGTATTAAAGTAAAGAGGAAATAAAGAGAAAGAAACTAAGCTGATATCCTGTCCGTTCTTTCACCATACAAATATAAAAACTATATTAAAACATTACTAAAACATTTTTGCCCCCCCCCCCTGGAAAGTT